AATTTTATCAGGAGTTATAGCTTTTGTGCTCGAAATTCTTTGTATTTAAAGTTTTGAATACCAAGTCATTGAAATCTCTTTTAGTCTAAGATTTTTATTTCCCCAACCCCGTAACTTTAAGGCCTTCAACTATCTAATTATACTCTAGAGATTTTAACCCTATATCCCTGAAACACTAGAGTCTTAATCTACGTGATCTGAGAAAAAAATTACGTTCAAGGAAAAAAAAATTACCGAATGAGTATAATTTATAATTATAAACCGTATGTCTTCCGGGTTGTGTAATATAAGACTCTAAGTGTTTCTGGATTAAAAAGTTAAGGGCACTGAAGTTGTCTGGTACACAGTTAAAAGATGTGGGGTTACAGGGTTATGAAGCTGAAGATCTTAGCACAAGGAAAACCCTGAACGAATAATCTAGAAAAAAACTATCCCCGAAGCAGTTGGCATCTTTTTTAGCCCTTGTCATTTGCATGCCTTCATTACTACGAACATTGTTTTTACTTTTTTTTCTCTGACCCCCTCGCTGCTTTCTTCTGCATTAAGAAAACTTGGTCTCTGCTCTTACGCGTTACATTCTTCTCCTGCTATGAGCTTTTCTCCCACAATAAACATTCTTAATTCTATGATACAAAATATTACCTTGAATCATTGAAAGTATTCACTGACCTAGCTAAGACATTTAAAATTTCCTCATCTGCTACCAACAATATGGCGTCGCTAAGGAATTCTCAACACTTAGAAGATAACTGTTTTTATCTTTTAGTTTTACTTTTTTTATTGCAATCAAAAAATCTCGTTCTTTTCTTTCCTAAAACAAATTTGGTCAGAAAACTGTTTGACAGCTTACTCTAATAATTAATTTAGTATTTTCCATTTAATTATGTTTCAGAAAAATTGAGAATCATTTTTTTTAACAAAATTTAAAAAATTTTTACCTTTATTTGCAATTTTCGTAAAATTCTAAAGTACTTACAAGTATAGTTTCCACTGCCAGTCTACTTCTCTGTTTTCATTCTGAGTATCCCTTACCCAAGTTTTTACTCAACTACCTTCTCTAACCCCTGATGTTATTCTTAGGTTGAAAATAGTAATTTACCATCGAGTATTCAGTTTGCTTTTTTTTGTCTTTTTCGTGTTAGTTATTATATATATTGATCACGTAATTTGGTCTGCGCTCTTTAACTCATTTGAAAAATATCTATTTTTTCTTCCTGTCTTTTAAGATTAAGTCATTTTAAAAGTACACATTAGTACTTTTCGGTTTTAAACTTTTTTGCGCTATTAATTTTTTTTTTGCATCTTCCATACATCACGATCATATACTACTACACTTTCTGAGCCTTCCTCCTGACTCCTGAGCCGAAGGTTCAACCATCAAATTGATATTTGTTGAAACTGCTTCAATTTCATACAATTATTTGTAAGTATTGAAGTATTGAAGAATCCAGATCATGACATCCAACATAACAGTTAGCAGGAATGAAATCCACAAAAAACATCCAGTTCTTGACCCCGGTTTTTTAATGAAAATTTTTTCTTGGGTATACCTTTATTTTGCTTATTTTGGGAATATTTTTCTTGCAATGTCATATAGGTCAGGGAAAAACACGCGTTTCAGTACAGAGGTGACACCCGTGTTTATGATTTTAGTAAGTATGTGACATTGTGAGAAAAATAAGGCCCCATTTTGAGGGTTTACCTAAAAAAATTTATTTTAAACAACGGATGACAAAAACTTGAAAGTTTTAAAACTTTTCATCAAACGTATGAAGCTTAAGACGTTTCAGAGAGTATTTTAAACTTTCTTAATAGTATTTCACCAATAAATTTTAGTGCAGTAGTAAGTTTAATCATAATTTTATGAGCTCGAAGACCCATGAACTAGAAAGTAAGGTACTGGCCTTCTTAACACGTAAAATTATTGATGCAAAAGAGGAAGATTGTAATTTAGAAATCAATTTTGATAGTTTTACTTGGATCAGTTGTTTCGATTATATTTCGTAGGATATTGAATAACTTCTTGATATTTAATTTTTGGAATTATCGTGGTCAACAGGTCGACATCGAACACTTAACACTCCAAACTGTCACTTAAGTTTTTACAATACCTGAATGTAAAGATGCCTAATTTTGCCAACAGTTTACCTTTTTCACTAACAAAGTCAGCAGCAAAAGAAGTGTAGACGGTTGAAGGTAATATCGACGAGTGACAGTAGAAGTAGATAATTATTGCCAACCAAGTCATTAAAGCATACACATTTATTATTTTACTAAAACTGTGATATTTTGAGACTTAAAATAAGATTTTCGAAATTTAATGTTTGGAATTTTCATTAGTTTTTCTTCCATTATCTAAGGTTAACACTAGCTGAAAACCTGTGGATATGGCTCTACTGTCATTTGTTTGAAAACCCATGTTAATTTCAACGGAGTTTTAAAAAAATACCATAATCAAGTATTTCGATAATGATAACTCGTCATAACCATAAATAGATGATGGTACTTTTTTGTCAATTCTATTTCCTCAAATTTTGCAATTACTTTTAGTTCAGCAAATCTGTTTATCAGGCGCTTTTGTACGTTACGTAACTATGTAGTCGATAGTTTGAAAAACCACCGAGATAAGGTGCACTGCGATAATAACTACTTATTTACAGGGATAAATGCTTTGTAGTCGCACCGACACTGCGACTAGCTACATTCAAATTTATGGCTACAAAAATATTGACAGCGTTCTTATTAAACCCCGGAGTACGAATTGTTCTAGGTGCCTGAAACGCAACCACTGGGTCAAATTGAAAGTTTTGCTCACGACTAAAAAGTCTTGGGTTTAAAAAAATTTTTTTTATTATTCTAAGCTGCAAGAAAAGGAGCTTGACACCTCAGACTTTCAGATGGTACATAGTAAAGAAATTAAATAGTCAAGGCATAGGTGCTGTAAATCGCTAAAAATGAAACTTTCTGGGAAATGACACGTATAAGAAAATATTGTTTGTCGTTACAATGTGATGGTATATTACTTTGTAGTTGATTAAGAAATTTATTACTCGAGAGTGCCCCAGCCTAATTCGACTCGGACATTAAATGACCTGGACCCAACTCGGCTACAGAATTGAGTCATTTTATCGTCTAAGGTCCAAGTCGACTACTCCGAATAAATCGCTGCATGAACAGATAAGAAATTAGTAAAAATCTTTACTTTAACCTCAATAAATTAACAAAATAAAATAAAAATTTTTTTTTGTATACAAAAATCAGCGACATGATACAATATTATTGATTATTATCGTACCATTAATATCCATCGGGGCGTGAATCGATTGTTCTCTTTCGCTTACTGCTTACCTTATAACTTGTTGGTTTGCATTTGTTTTGTGTTATAGCAACTATAATGCCTTGGAAACAGTCATAAAATATATTGTACACCGTTTGTACGCATACTTATCTGCAAAAGTATATTGTTATGACGGGTTGTCCTTGACATTAGGAAAATTAATCCTAGTTTGAATGTTTTTCTTAAAAAGTTAAAAGTTACAGAATAAATACACTGTATGGACTGTTTTTAATTATAATTAAGACCAGAAAATGTGTTTTCAAAATTATTCTAAGAAAAACGAAAGAGGACATGTATACACATGTATTGTATAGGCTTGGAAATTCTTTACTGCCGATGAAACCTCATTGAATGTCCAAATTAATGAAAACTTACAAACGCGATGTCTTTGATGAGGAACAAAGAACGTACGGAGGCTGGTTCACCTGTTTCCTCGACAAATGAAGGCACGTACCACTCTTTAGACTAAATTGTATAAAAAAAAAAAAAAAAAAAATATGAGTGTGTCGTATGCATCATCACAGATTGTAAATTCGGTATCCCTGTATTTAATCATCGATCGATCGACAGATACAAATGATAGGCAGCACAAACAGCAAAAAACCTTGGTACAGCGCTTTTGACATCAACAAAGACGCCGAGAGGTATACTCGAGACCGCAGAAGGTGTAATAACGATGGCACATCACCACTCCCACAGGATCCTCTCTCTCTTCTTTTTCTTTATTTTTGCAACCCTATACCCCTGTGGTCAGCAATACTTGTACACACGCATGCAAGATATACTTGACGAAGGAGGACGCAACACCAGGCATCGGCAGCTCCGGCTCTTTCGTGCGTCTACGTATAAATATGTATACAGCTGCTGGACTCACAGAGGTGAAAGAGAAATGCTGTGTACACTACGCCTCCTCCTCCACCTCCTTCATCTCACTCTCGGTCCTTTTGCCGCGCGGGAGCACCGCCGGGAGAGTTTCGCTGCCGGACGACCGCGATAGACATTCTCCCGTTGGCCGTCGCGGCCCTCGAACGTCCCTGTATGTGTACATATACGTATAATTTATACTTATGCGTGCCTTCAAAGTCAGCGTTGTTTAAAGGAGCTCGCCTACAAATTCGAGAGGTGCGTCTGGACCTTCGGTCCTTTGCCTTATCTCCCACTTTCATCGATTTTTTACGTTTTTCGGCCTCGCAGTGCACCGTCTTTCTTCCACGGTTTGCTCGGGAATCGGTACCGGTCGGTAATTTTGCTCTCAATAAAAGAAATCGATCGTCGATTCAAAAGTAGTGTTTCCGGCAGTTTTTTTTTCCACCGCATCAAGCGCTAATGAGGGATATACACTCGGCCGAGCGGATATCGAAAGTTAAAAAAACGCGAGTCCCGAGGCGCATATAAAAGTGATACGAGTGTCAATTTGCACTTTCATAAATTCCATCCTTGTTTTTTATATTATTATTTTTTGTTTTAACGTCAAAGCTCGCCTGGTCTCCCGTTACAACTCTACCAAAGTATTTTTGTTAAACATTGAGTGACATTGTTGTTAAATCCTGTTAACAGTCAACCCTGCCTCCCCTGACGGTGAACAAACTGCTACTTCAATGTGTGTTTGTTTTATTTAAAAAAAGCAATACCCCGAAAGAAAAACTTAACGGAGTGAAAAAACATGTTGGTGCTGAATTTCCTGGGGCTGCTTGTTCTGACGAGCTTCGCAGGATCCATTGAAGCTGTGCCTGGAAGATTGAACGGTAAGATCCACTGCATCCTATCACGTGGTCAAAACCTTGAATGAGAAAAATAAAAAAAATTGAAAAAACATCGTAATACATGAACTGAAAAAACTAAAACTGGTGTTTGGTGCTCATGTAACTGTAGGTGCAACTGGTGTATTTTTTTAACTTTGTATTTTTTTTCTATACTGTGTATTTGAAGATAAGCATTACACTTATTGGGGATCCAAGTCGTAGAGTCTCTTGTTTTTGGTTTACATTGAATTTCATACGATGCAGGTTGACCGAAAAAAATATTTAAATGAACCACGTTGATTAACAAAGTCCAAGAATAGTACATTTTTTCATGGATTTTTAATACTTTCATGTTCAGATTTTTTATTTTTCTTTTGTAAATCTTAATTTTTCATCTATATTTGTAGATGTGTGTAAATATTTATAGTAGGCCGTTTTACGAAAAGTGAAAATCAAAATCTCGAATTTCAGTGTTGAGAAATTTCACACGTTTTTGTAGATGTTGCTTAAGATACATCATCCGAAAACTTTGAGGTCCAACTCTATTGACACATTATAAAAAAGTTATGTAAACTCAAACGTACACTTTTAAAATTTAAAACTGCATTATAACTATGTTTTTTCCAATGACAGGAAAAAAAAAAAAAAAAAAGAAAACCATGACGATAATAATTCTGAAACTTCAATAAATGACAGTTCACATCGCCAACACATTTAAAATATTTACTCATCAATTAGTAACACTTTTTCAGTACACCTACAGTATTATTATTTTGAAACTGTACTCAGACACCCATGGTCACGCTCATATTTTAAGGCTGGATTCACGATGACACAGTGCTTTATTGGTTGAATTCAAATCTAGAGACGAAAAGATTTCATCCGTACATTCGAATTTCGCGAAATACGAAACGGTCCGATCCAACAGCCCAAGAATCGATTGTTTTGGTCCCACCCAGGTGTTTAAAATTTTTAATCACATCAATAAATTTTGGATAGCCAAGCATTGGAAAACACTTGAAAATTAACATATTGGGTCGATGCACGCTAAAAGTAGAATTTTTAAATTGTGACATTCTATTTAGTAACGGAACATTAGCCTGTTTCTCCATTTTTTGCTAACCTAATGAATTTTTCACTGTCCTTAATCTACAAGATGTGTGTGTTCTGAAAACAAAAGTTTTTAAAAATTTGTTAGAAAATAATTGAACAGCCAGGATACGGATATCAAATCAACCTGTTTATCGTAAACTCATTGATACACACATGCGCGCACACACACACACGCAGAAATTTACATAATTTTTTCTTAACAACGATCCGCTAGATTTTTTGTAATAATCTCGTAACATTTTCCAATCGCATAAGTACTACACGCGCGTGCCCTACTTGCATTATAAAACCGAAATAATCTCGATAAAAATATCCTATCCTTGTACACAAATGCCGAGAAAAATTTTCAGTTCAACAAAAGTTATTGCAAAGTTTTCATTGAAAAACAATTTTACCAAACGAAATTTCGAAATACCTTATACACTTTCAATGTAGCGCAGTTTCGATCAGTATAAGCTTTCCTAGCTGTACGTCAACCGGGCAAAACATACGAAACGTGCAAATGTAGATCCCCGTGTACAAAGAGAGGAACAGAAGGAAAAAATTGTTCCCGCATGTAAACAAACACAGAAGCATCAAGTCTACGCGTACGCGCATACACGCACACTCAGCTGGATCACACAGTAAAAGTTGACCGGCAAAACTTTCACTCTGATTTTAATAGAATAACATTACGAAGTCATCGGCCGCGTGGAGTGGATCATTTCCATTTTCATCCAGTAGAAAAATCATCGACATTCGTATATACTTACGTGTCACCACGTTATTTTTTTTCTACTTTTACTCGAACGTATATTTACCACGCCTTCTTAATCACGGTATACCTTCGTGTATATAATTATAATGTAATCCTATACAACTCGGTGTTTCACCGTGACTTGTTTCCTTTTCGTTTTTTGCTCAATGTATAGATACAATGTTTATGGGTTTTTTCAATTTGAGCGTCAATTGCGTGACCCATGCACTTGAACTCATTTTAATTTATTGCTTCAATCGCAACGTGTCAAAAAAGTATATGTACATAGCTTGTACCTTATCTACATCATTTGTAACGTCACGAGTATCAATGAAACATTTTAATATTTGAGTAATAGAGAATTCAATTTGTAGATAGAAAAAAATAAGTTAATTACTAACACATGGTGCATGCAACCACTATTCATAGATCATTATGTAATACGATATATCTGATCTGTCTCTCCTTTTCTGTCTGTTTCCGGTGTGCTTTCTGCTCTGCTTGCAAAATCTGCTTCCTCTGTACCTCCACTGTAACGCATGAAACGTGAAAAAAAAAAAAAACAACTACAACAACAAAATTTACAAACAAAAAGTCACAACGAAACACCTGCACGATGCGGTGAGAAGCGCTAAGAAGCGCCAGCTCGATTCGAACCAGCAGCGTCAACGCGACAGCCCCTTCAAATTCACGTTCGATGACAATGTCAAGCTGCAAAGCGTTGAAACCGAGCTTACATGTAAGTCCACGAATTTACCATTTTGAGGCTTATATGTGGGTAATTTTATTTTTCCTGCTTTGGGCGTTTTTTTTTTCACCTTTGGACGTTTAGTGTGCACTCAGTAGGAAAAATAGGATTCGCACTCACTATATTACATTTTGATGCACGTGATTAAAGTATAATGTACCATTGGACACGCGACTCATGTAATTTCGTGGTTTCCAATTTTACTCTTGTATATAATATCACCATGCCAATGTACGTATAAAAATGGTAATCGCACCGCGCACGTATTTTGAAATACATTTGGAAAATCTTTCATCCTCCTGCATTCGATGCCCGAGTGCTTCGTTAAATTGTTAAATCTAACGTTCAATGCCTAATAACAACCCAAAGCGGTATTTCAATCGAACATTCCATTTACCATAGTTGCTTGGACCACAAAATTTTCATCCTAGGCGTTTTATTTAACGTTCATTGAAATTTCGACTGATTTCGACACTGCGAACCCGCAAGTCTTCGTCCGGGTTTTTCCTTCACAAAAATCTCTCGATCCCAAAATTTTCAAATTCATTATTATGTACACACTTGAAATTCTAGAATTCTAAAATGGCCAGTTCGCCACGAATTTCAAACGTATCTCTCTCGAGCCAAAACCGAGTGTACGTTGTTTTTTTTGTCCACGAGCACCTTTCAAAATCGGTAGATCGACGTACATGAATCCTTCGACCGCTCTCTGGCGTTCTTCTTCTTTAAAGATCAATCAAAAAAATTGTTACGTAGATCACTGAAAGAAGAAGAGAAAATAAAGGACCTGTAGATAATGAAGCACTCGACGAACCCGTGTATCCACGTATTTCTACTCTAAACAGCGTACCCTGCAATTTGGGCTGATTTATCCACGCACTCACGCACAGGAGTATATTATACGTATGCACACGCATAAGCATAGGTTGTGAAATCTTGTGTTACGGGATAAATTTGAGGTGGTTCGAAAGCAGAGTCTCCGTGAACGCGTGCACGTACAACTGAAAGCAAGATTCGTCTCGACAGTCGTGTTGCCGGGAGCAATAAATTTATAGATATGCCTCGTGCCTTGCGATTAGCGTAGATTGAAAGGAAAAACAAGAAAAGTGCATGAGGCAATCTTCTTTGGATGCTGGTGGATTCTACAGCGTTACGTCGCATAGTTTCGGAGGCCAAACTACTCGAGTGCTAACAGTGTGTGGATACGACAGCGCGAGTATTTCGATTTTTTGTGTTTACATGTATGCATGTACTAGCGGTCCCCCGTCTCCGCTTCGCCCAAGATTCACTGAGTGGAGCACCGTAGTATGTTGACACGTAATTCCAGTTAAAAAAATTTTAGTTTAGAATCCACGCAGTTTTGGTCAAATAATAAATTGTGAGACAAATTTAAAAAATGTAACGATGCTAAAAAGTACCGTGCATTCCTTACGCCGTAAAACAGTTTTCGTCCCTAAAAGGCCGTTGATTTGCACTTTCTCACGTTATAATAAATGCAAATACCAAACTTTATTACCAGAGCAACAAAGTCCTGGAGCTTAATCTCTACATTTTTTATCGCCACGAAAATACAAAAACATTTTCGATCTATTTGAAAATCTAGAAGATTCATGAGATTACTATAAGGGTTACAATGAAAAACTGATTTCTCACTTAAGAAATTTTTTATTTATCGATTTTTATGCTGCTTTAATCTCGATAAATGTTCTGCGTCAGTTTCTTGACGCCAAAAATTCTAAACATTTGAAGCATTCGAAGTTTTTCTTCCAATTGGCCCTCTTACAAATTTTTACGTTTATTTTTCCTTCATAGCTGTTAGGTTTGCCCAGCACAGACCTCAGGGAGGATCGGTGATTCCTGGTTGAGTGCTTAGAGTCGAGAGGGTAACATAGGGTCGTCGGTCACCGGGTTTTCCAGCCTCGCGACGAACAACTCCGCTCGTGACATCTGCCAGTGAATGACTGTTACATTACAATTTGTTAAAAATTAAAACGCGTACTAATGATCTTCCTTATTACTGAAATAACACTCGTTTTTTGCCACCCCAAAGACACCAATGAATGAATGGGAACATTATTCGCGAAAAGTACTACTTTACCGTGGTTTGAAAATCATTTGAGTTTAGTTTGCTTTGGGCTCGTACAGGTGCGTTCACAGAAATGCTTAATTCAACGATGAGATTGACCGCAAGTACCGCTTCTCTTGAGCACGTTACATGTGTGGGGAGAGACTAATTGTGAGTCGCATTTTGCGAACACAGTACTTTCTACGTCGTTTTGCTTTCCCGAGCGAGTAAGTAAAGCCACGTATACAGATATGCTCACGTGTCGTTGGTCTGGAATCAATGAGAAAGATATGACACAACTCCTCTCTTTATACGGCAAAGGTAGTTTGCTTAGATTCCTGGGCAGTCGTATGAGCAGCTACCGGGAAATCTTTCTTCCGTAAGATACCAAATACTCGCACCGGACTTCGCTACAGACTTTGGCGATGTTCCGTAGATTGTCTTGTCGTTTTATGGAATCAAGACCTGGGAGTTCACTAATTAAGTATACATACTATGTATGTATTGTAGTAAGATTTTCATCCTCGTTGAATAATCACGCGTCTAATGCCTCGTAAGGATTTTATCTCATCGAACATCTTAGGGCCTTGACACACGAGCGCTTCTCAAAAATAAAGAACTTCGTTCTAAAAAAAAAAAAAAAAAAACCAAGTTTACCACCAATAGTGATTAGCCTTATTTGTATTGTAAATTATATTGTACAGAATTAATAACGTCCGAGTGGAATCGTATTGAAATTGCTAACAGTGAGTGTCCAATATCTACGAAACAAATTTTGATAAGACTCTGGGATAATGTTGCTGGTATGTAAGTGTGAACGGAATATATATTTTAGAACTATCTCACGAGGGGACCCTTAAAATTTATAAAAAATGATGGTTCGGAATAAGCACAGTGTTTATTGGAAAAAAAAATTTGCGGACTAGACTAAGAAAATTTGAAACTACTGAAGCAGAAATTTCCGCTTCCTATTTGCTACACGGCGTACGTATAAAACCGTGTACGTACCATGGGCGGAAGTAAAAAATATGGTTACTCAAATGGCATATCATCATCGTAATACACATTCTACTTGGGACATTTTTTACCATCCACTCACCTTCATTGTACAATTTTATATCATTTGCTGCTTTACATTTCAAGATGGTTTAGTCTTTTCAAAAATTCAATCACCAAAAGGTGAAAATTAGTAATCGAAAATAAGTATATGAGTTTTTAAAATATTCATCATACAGTGTTTTTTTTACAAATAATGTTGGTAACCATAGATTTTCCAAAGTTATTATTCAAATATAAACTAACGGTTTATCGTCCTATTTCAAGTTTACCAACGTAAAAAAAATGTTAGCTTACGAAAGTCGAGCTATCACGAATCGCACACACATAATTACACTAGCTATTGAAGAAATAAGATTCTTGAAAATTAAAAAAAAATTTTCATTCACTGATAACAGTATAACAGGGAATTCAGAACAGTTAAATCGACTGGACTCTTCATTGAGTACAAATTTAAGGTATGATCCATCTCAAGTTGCAGTGGTTTAATCAGAAAAAAAAAATTCAAATAAAATTCATTTAATATTGATTACAGTGTTGACACTCTTTGCTTATTTCTAGACTGTACAATAAAAACTTTTAATAGGAATGAAGAAAAACTTTCGTTACCTCTAAACTTTTAAATCTCACCAAAGTAATCTCTTTTTGTTGTTGAACGATATTATAAAACGGATGGGAAGTTATCAGTTTTCCAGACATCAGGGGGTCCTGGTTAAGTTTTGATAATTTGAGATATATGGTTTGTTATAAAACAAACATACGCTGGTAAAGTGTTCCTGAATGAAAAGTAAGTACAGTTGTCGATAAGCTGGTTTGTCTCTTATGAGAAAATCAAAAATTTGGACTTTTATGTATGAAACCTTTCATTTTATATACTTTCTGGTCAAAAGTAAAGAGAACCTTTTCCTAGACATTTCTATCCACTGTTATAAATTTCTTACCAAAAATGGTCTTAAACAATCTTCTTTTCATGCTTGTCTAATAAATACAAGGGTAATTATTCTCTAGTGAGGAATCAAACATTTACCTCCAGCAGCTGTTTATTCTATACTTATAAATATTTCAATATCAACATGTACGTACTTAGTAACAATACACCCAATGAAACAAAAAATAATTCGTAGACTCGGTTATATGAGAAATATTATACTATTGGATCACTTTATCAACACAACTACTCCACAGCAGAATGTGTATACCACCAGCAATCAAAGTTTTTTAATTCCCCCTTCTCTTTTTCTTTTTTTGCTTTCACGTCTAGATACTCCAGTTGTAAGACAATAATTTCTCATAACTGTTTCAATCTGCTTATTTGAATGCATATACTTTTAATCTTACAGAACAATCCTTGTCGTAGAAAAAAATGTTTAAAAAATAGCTCTGGGCCATTATCATCAGACTCGAAAACATGCTCTAAGTGTCTGTTTTTTAGATCTTCGTAATTTCAGCAATAAAGTTAAGACCACATTTTCATGAAATTAGAAAAACTATAAGCTGAGTAGACGGTTTCAATAAAAATGAGGAGAATTATCAGAAATGAATTATTTAGAGGTTCCATATTTTTTATGAGAATGACTATCGAATATTTCCATTTTTCAATGAAAATAAAGAAAACCAGTTTATCATAATTTTATCAATTTTTTCCTCGTTAGATTGTAATATTCAATTTTTTTCCAGATTTATACATTATATTCTTATAATTGGTTTTCTAATCGTCACATCCAAAAAATAAACATGATCAGATTTTTTACATAATACAGTATCTCACATAGACTGGATCAAAAAGCTGTTTTTAAATTATAATCGGGGTTGTCACATGCAGATCATAACAGGGGAAAACTTCTATACGTAGGTTTAGGTTTACTTAGTTTGGGGAGCCCGTGTAGAAATTACCATATGTTGCGCAAACAAAATTAGTAAGTATAGGCGATGCACGAGCGTGCATGTAAATTTTTTATTTATATCCATAACGTGCAGGTGAGTACCTGGGCTTTATTTGCTTCTCCTAATTAATGATCTTGGGTTGAAAACATGTTTTGGACATTTTTGCCATTTTTTTGGGGGCTCTTGCTGACATTTTAACTTGTTAGATTCTATTTCAATTTGTTATAATACATTGAAACTACTACCCTATTTTTTTTCGAGATAGTCAGAATTTTGGGAACATCGTTATGATTTTTAGCTAATTCTACCATACTAGGAGGGTTCCCGTGAACTATTCAATTGATATGATTTTACCCAGATTTTTCTCACATTATCGTAGCTACTAAACACGATTTTCGATGGTGCATTGTTGTAAAATTTGCACATCCATAAATCTTATTGTATTTGATCTTTTGGGGCAAGAATTTTGCACATCTATAGTTAGGGCTACTAATTTTTATCAACAAATTAAAAAACCATATCAATTTGGTAAAAAAAAAATTAATTTGTACTCCTTAGTACATTTGAAACAAATAAGGCCTTTTGGAATTATTCTCTAAATGCCATATTTTTTTAGTAAAAAAATTCGCAAACTTTTGAATTATTCGAATTTTGCAATTTTCAACCGTGTATATCTTGATTATTAAAAAACTTTTGGAAACTCTACAGTGCTTAAAAATTTTGATTAATCATCTACTTAAAGAACCTATCACTTTTAGAGCAGTGAAAATATGTTTTGTTTAATCATGAACTTTAAATTGTGAGCTTCTTGCTATGCTACCCATGGTCTACATAAGTTTACGTGTGAAAATACGATGTACACCTGATTTGAATAAGTACATTCAAGATTTCCTGAGTATTTTCAATTAACCTCACGAAGTGATCGCTGATCAACTACTGCCTGACTAGCAAAGAAATTGTTGTAAGCAAATTTTTTAACAAAATTTTTTTAATAACAATTTTCATATTTTTTGGTTTGTTTCAAGTAAACATTTCTCTTAGAATTTTTTAGTACATACCAAACCAATTAAAAAAAAATTTACAAATTTTGAAGAATAATAATCAAGCTTTTTTAAACTTGATGCGGCTGTATTTTTTTTTTTTGCAATATTTATTTTTAACTACACAGAGATCTCATAATTTTGTGAAAAAATTAGTCAAAGTATGTGTCAATTTTATAGAAGTACCAAAATTTAATTTTAAGTATTATCAATAGTATCATTCAAACATGAGAATAAAAAATATCAAAGGATAATAAATGCGGCTAATGTGATGACACAAAATCAGATTGAGGACTTGTCACTTCTAATTGTAGCGCATTAAGCATTAAATTTTAGTACCTGCATGAAATTGACACATCCTTTGATTGTAATTTTTCACAAAAATATTAGAGCCTTGTAAAGTGCAAAATGAATAATGCATTAAAATACAGCCACATGAGGTTAATAAGAAACGCTCGATTGAGATTCTTCAAACTTTGCAAACATTTTGTTTGCAAAGTTTGCAACCTACCATGAGTAATTTCGTAAAATAAATGAAAATACTTGAGGAAAACTTGGGTTAACTTATTCAAATCAAAGGTATCCGTTCATTGTCACTTTAAGTGGGATTGAGTTAGACTATTCGTTCATTATAACATTTTCAAGTGATCTAAGCATAACCAAATAACAGTATAATTCCACACAATTTTAAAAATCTTTCTGCCAGCACCTCTGAGGTAAAATTATATCAGTTCAATTTTAGTTATATTATTTTCAGCACCTTTTTCTTTAAAGCTTTAATTTGAGCTCTAGCATAAAAACAAAAATGTTATTGGAGCCGATACACAAAGATGAATCAAGCTTAGGTTAAAAACTTGAGTAAGGATAATCGCTCGAGGTGAATACTTCATTATTTTTATTTGTTTTCCACTCTGCGACCAAACTTAAATTGACTGCAACTTTTGATCTCACTAATGCTCAAAGAAATGCTCATTTATAACTTGTAAAAAGCCATCGATTTCTCCGTGAACGGATGTTCCAACTTTATTTCAAATCAAGTTGGTTCTTTGGGATTGCAATTCAAATGAAAAATACAAATTTTTCCTTTTTAATGCCACTCTCCTTGCCACTCGCATTTAGATGATAATAAAGGATGCGTGACAGGACAAACCGGATTTTCCAGACGGAGTCAAACGCAATGCAAACTCGGAGTACTTAATTAGGATCATACGTCTGAGTAATACAAATTTAGCGTCTCCCTTTACGTTTTTGATTTTCGGGGATTTCAAAAGAAATAACATGCTTATACAAGCAGTAAAAAAAAATAAGAACAAGTTTGTTGTCTTCTTTTCTCACAAACAAAGTCTTTTTCAAGTGTAGATTCCATGAGGGGATTTTGTGGAGCATCAGCTCATGGCGTTTCTTTTCGTCCCCCACATTTACTGTAGAACAGGCAAGACGATCGCATTCGCCCGAGAGGCCTTGCATTGAAAGAAAATGAACTAGTCCTCGAGTAAACTTGTACATAAAGGTACATGTATATGTATCCATATGAGCAAATGACGCATGTTCGTGCTCTCTTGGCGCAGTTTTCGATTAATTGTACACTGGATAATTTTTTTTCCTTCCGTAAATTCGTACGAACAAGCGAGTAAAAAGTGCATGAGTAATAATGCAGAGGGAACAAGCCGGTTTTGGCTTTTATGCACGTCTGCTTCGGGCTTTTCCTTTTTTTTTTTTTTTTTTTCATTCCGAAACAACAAGGCCCGAAGTAAAGCGAATATCCCAGAGAGATACGCTCGTTAAATTAGGTTTTTGACTCGTGTATTTTATTATTAAACACGATGTATGGGCGCGTAAAAATAATTACTGCTCGATTTTATGATACTTTGCATTCAGACTTTATTATTATGAAAATTGGTTTTTAAAGATTTTGAGCATGATCGTAGCACGGAGCAAAGGGTAATAAAAAAAGTCATAAGAATCGGATTGCGATAAATCTTCGAACTTTGGACGTAAAAAAAAAAGTTTATTGCAGTTGAAGTCTTCCGATACGTACAATAAAAGCGAACGTATTAGTTAGGTGTAACATACAATACACTTTTAAATCCGAAAGCAAGACTTTCTATTATAACTCACTTTATCTCTCCCGCTTTATACTCACGTGGCTTACGTTTCATGTTCTCATTAAGCTTTCATTTTCCATCGATACTTATACAATTTGTAGTAGATAGTATATATTGTTGTTTTTTGATAAAGTACTCACCCAATTAAAAATATATTCTTAGTTTCGTTACGTATTTAAGTACGTTGTTACGTCGGCGCAACGTACCATTCGAGCCTAAAAGCTTTCGCTTAATAGCTCGGGACTCGCACTGGACGCGTAGGTGGAACACGGGGCTAAAAGGTGGTTATTTTTCATGTCTGAATATTTAAAAGGGGGTGAGGGCGACCGTTTTGATTAAATCGACGCGCTTGTCGAGCAATAATGCAATGTACTTGTTCGCGGCGCGCCTTGGATTTATTGAGGATACTTGGTGTGATGTGTCGTACCGTATCCCGCTCGCGATCTAGAGGTTACCAGTACCGTAACGAGCAAAGTTAGTTACACTCTAGAGGTTACGTAAGGGGGAAAATGGTTTAAGTTCGCGACCGGTCTAGGATCCACCAGTACCATCCGGGGTAAATGTGATTGTCCTAGACTTTACGTGAAGAGTAATTTGTCTATTTAAATTCGTAGCGCAATATTCACCGATACCAAATTTCGAACCGAGAGAAGAATGAAAAAACTTTCACTTTAATATTACAATTTGACTGACTTTTATTTTTGGTCTTAAAGTATACACCGGAGCGAACCAGCGCGGGGTGTCTGAGATCGAAGATTAAAAACCACACTTGTGGAGGACCGTGAGATAGCAGAGGTGGACTCTAGCTACTTAGTTAACCGTTCGAGGGTAAAAATTAAACTCTATTTTTCTTGTGCCTTCAGGCCCTTTTTAAAAGGAGTAGCGAACCTCGGTGACGCGCTGGTTCGATAACAACGCAGGAGAGCTTGCCAGGGGAAAATCTTGCAAAAATGATAATAGCCGAAAATCTCATTGGCTAGAACTGCTCTAGTTCAGCCACTCAGAAATTGGCACTTCCCTCATCCGGTTCACTCTCCTCTTTGCGCTAAGAGAAGGGAAGGAGATTCACTTGCTTATGCCCTTCCTTTCCCTTTTACAACGAAGTTGACAGAATTTCAATATATTTTAACCNCTGTATTGCACAAGAAAAAGCTACTGGATGTCCTGACTATCTAGGAATTTTTTTTAAGGTAAGACGAGTTTTTCAAGTTTTTTTTTTTTTTTTTTTTTTTTTTGTTATGAGGAGACACTATTTGGTTTTCGTTTTAAAAATAATAAAAAAAGTGTGGCTTTGCTTTCACTTACAACCGTATTCTTGCGATTGCCACTGATATCTGTCTGAAAAAGAGCATCTCTCAATCTTCTACGTCAAATCACTATGCAGAGGTACTTTGCTGTTTTCCAAAATCTTCTAAGCTAAATTCGTTTCTTTTTGTCTTGAACTTCACAAACAATTTATCTCTTTCAACTCTTTTAGAACTACTTTTAAACTTATTCATTTAGAATCGTGAGAAAAACGGATCGTAGAAAAATGTTAGTTGTCGCTGGTGGATTGACAAGTATGGATTTATTTATAAAAATTTTTTAAATAAAGTTAACGACGTTTATAGATTGAACTAATTATCAGGTGAAAAGAATAACGACGAGTACATAGTGGCTATACAGATGTAAGTTGTGGTATATTATCACAAATGAGAATCATGGCTATTTCATAGTTTTTAGGAATACTAGGTAAGCTGTAGCATAATAAGTTGATAAATACGCGTGCAATTGAATGTTTATGTCAAAATCTCAGGGATTGGTACTAATACCCTAATACCCACCGTACTTACTTGCATTATCCGCTACTCCTGGCAAGAATTATATTAATCTTCGAGCTTCTTTGCAACATCATTATAAGCCGATGCTAAAAATTCTTCGGTCAGTGACAAATATATATGCTCATGAAATGTTCAGCAAACTTTTATTTATCTGTAGGTATACTGAAAGGACATATTGACTTACAACAATAACAATAACAATAATAATAATACTATGAATGATAATAAAAACGATTTTCCAGGCAAACTGGTATAGGGCATCGCAATACTGTCGTTACCACGGTATGCATCTGGCAAGCATAAATTCGCAGGAAGAGAACGACAAGCTTGAGAAGCACATTAGGGACTTTGGACTGGGACACGAGCATTTCTGGACGTCGGGTACGGATCAAGCGGAGGAGGGTACCTTCTTTTGGATGGCCAATGGCCGACCCGTCACCTTCGAGAACTGGAACACTGGCGAGCCCAACAATTTTCGGTACAGCTTCACTTCCAGTTTTTTTTTTTTATTTGTCTGATTTAGCTTTGTTCTTTCTTCGATTGAAAGTTCATATATACAAACCATTGAGGAAAAAATCATAATTACAAATGACACTCCTCTCATTCTCTCGATACGTACATGAATCATTTTACAAAAAATAGATTTTATCCATGGCCCAGTCAATTGAAAAACTATTAACGGAGATTTAGATTTTTCAACTTAATTCAATAATAAACAGTCATTTTCTGCTAAAGTTACAGCAAAAATTTGTTAAAGGGCACATCAGTCCATCCATTGATTGGAGGTAAAAATAATACAAAAAAGTTGCAGTTAAGCCCGCCAAATGAAATCATTTAAATAATTATACGGAACAACCTAAGCGATTATTAAACATTACACGATCATTTGTATACTTTAACAAAAACAGGATCTCAAGGTCGTTAATGTTAGTATTACTAACAAAATCAAAAAAATAAATTCATAAGACTCATATGCTATTAAAAAGTTGTTATGTAGCAAGACAATAATTGTATTTTTTTTCCCAATCACATAGGTACGAGAATAACGAAGAAGAGCACTGCTTGGAGTTGTGGAACCGAGATGGCAAAGGCCTTAAATGGAACGACAGCCCGTGCAGTTTTGAAACTTACTTCGTCTGTGAGGTGCACTGACACGTGTCTGCCGATGCTTTTTCTCACTTCTACCTTCTTCTGTGATCTCTGTCTCTTTTTATCTCCTTGTCTCCCGACCTTCCTTGCACCTTGCTCCTTTCTTTTTTTTGCTTAGGTAAAAAATGTACTTACCTTCACTCGGTATTTTTCAATGAGATTTCCGTACAATCCCTCATCAAACACTCAACTTACGCTTTGGAAGAAAGATGGTATCCTCGTTTCATTTTTTATAAGTACTTATTTTTACTGAACTAAAGTACAGAGAGTATTCGCACTTTGTAGCTTACGTACTTCATCACAGTTCAATGTGCGGCTTTTCCGCTTCGCTGCGAATTCCGTTTCGTGTACCGATTATGTCATAGCTTTAAACATCTGATTTTCGTGGAATTTTTTTTTCAACCACTGTTAGACGACATTATCGTCTAGGATCCAAAATTTTTTAGGACAATTGATGTAGTAAAAAAAAAAATACGAAAAAACGAGAAAATCCTCATAGCATTGTGGGTAAAAGAAATTTTCAACAGTTGGATTTCGTGTTAAACTAAATAATACTGAAACATGTCCTCCATGGATTTTCTATCTAGTGGATCTATTTACTTCATTTTAGTAAAAATAAAAAAAATTACATAAGTAGCTCATTAAACTTATTATACTTTGCGTGATAAAGTCTAAAATGTAAATGAATAGTTTAGTTAATTATTGTACATTATACGCTAAGTAATATTGTTTCAGGGCTGTTTATAAGATTCACTTATTGCGACCTAGTCTGTAATTTATATATTCCGGTAACACAGAGATAATACTTCGTAATGTAATTATATTTTAAATAATGAAGAAACGATAGTAAATTTATTAATTGTATTGTTAGAAGGGTGTATATTTATTAAAATTATTTTAACATTGTATACAATTTTCTCTCACACGTTCATTCTACGTTATGAAAAAGAATCGTCAATGTTACAGAAAGATATTTTCGGGTATCGACTGAAAATAATATGTAATGTTATTTTAATCTGCAGAGACAAGTGCAGATTTTACATGATTTGTCTGTTATTCTGAATCAGTGATGTGCATTTTAGTTTTTCTAAATAAAACAATTGTTCTTGAAATGAATATGCTTGCCTTATTTCGCTATTCAAAAAATAGTCCGGGCGCCAGGGTTCCTGTAGCTTTTGAATTTTATAGCTCCATCAAGATTTTTTCAGTGTTCATATTTTTATCTCTTGAGTTGGAAATTCGAGGTTAGAAACTCCAAAAACCACACAAAAATAGTTGTTAACAATTTTTAATAACAAATTTTAAAATTAAATTATTTTTGAAAAAAAATTTTTTTGCTGATTATTTCTCCTATTTAAAGGAAAAAGGTCTCTCGAAAAATTCGTTAGAACTTCAGATGATGTGTAAAAAATTCACAATGTTTGGAAATTCTCTTGTTTTCTGATTTTACTCGATTGCTAACCTGCTTTGATGTAACTAAAAATATCTGTATTGCACAAGAAAAAGCTACTGGATGTCCTGATTAAAAAATATTTAACAAACATGTAATGATTATTAGTGGTTGTTAAAAAGAAAAAAACTTGTTAAAATATTTATAATTTATTAGGATCAATCAATAAAAACGCGTAAAAATGTAAAAACTTCCTTTCAAGATATTTCAATTAAAATCTTATGCTTGGAATTTGTTATGTTAATCATCGAAGTAATATTTTTGAATTATGGACTACGTTATTATTTTTCTTATGTGTGATATTTTTTTTCAAGAATCAATCATTACTTGTTTGCTTAGTATTTTTTTAACTATGACATCCAATAGTTTTTTATTGTGTAATTCGGATATTTTTATTCACATCAAAGTAGGCTAGCAAGTAAGTAAAATCAGAAAAATAGAAAATTTTTAAACACTGTAAATTTTTTACCCACCATCTGAAGTTTTAACAAATTTTAAGAAAAACCTGTTTGCTTCAAAGAAGAGGGATGATGACATGAGCAACAAAATTTTTTTTATAAAAGTATTGAATTGTGTAATTTGTTAATCCCAACTGCTGATAACTTTTTTTTGCGTGATTTTTTGAGGTTACACCCTTAACATTCTGATTTAGAATGAAAGAAAACAAAAAAAACTTGGTTTAATCCTAGAAGGTTTAGAGATACAATGTCTTAATATACATGTACAATCGATCCTCTTTAGAGAAATATTGTATACATGCCAAAACACCTGACATTCAAAGCTCACTGAAGAAAAATGGAAAGAATTGATTGAAAAATTTTTAATGTATTGTTAAAGTACGATCTTAGACGAATATTTTGATATCTTGTAGTGTCAAAAAAATAAAAAGTAATAGTTAACACACAGTTAAAGTGTAAAAAACGCGGTTTCTGGAATTTTATACAATTTTTCACTCGAGTTCTATAGGATTTAGGTATATACAGCCCAATTGGTTCTATTGTTAAAAAATATGCCACATAATTTTTAAGGTTCCACCCTCGAAAGGCTAATTAAGAACATAAAACTTCATCATAAACCTTGGTGGGACCACAGACTCATGAGGCTACAGGAACCCCCTTGGTGCCGGACTAAATGGTACAGTTCTCCTACCTTTGGCGTTTTGAGTGGCTGATGTGCTCTTGGTACAAAAAATAGGATTAACCACATAAGCGCCATTGATCCGCGACTATCTTACGTCCCTTGGGCCACAAAATAGCCCCGGAGACGATGGAAATTATCCGACGAGAACTACCATTTCATCAGATAAGTGCCATCGTCTCTGATGATGACAATTATCCGAAATTGACGATGGCAATTATCCGACGAGAACTGCCATTTCATCGGATAAGTGCCATCGTCTCTGGGATTATTTCGAGGACGTAATGCAGCCACGGAGCGATGGCACTCACGTCTCGAATCCTACTTGTCCTACCGAGGGCACACTAGCCTCTCAAAAATGCCCAAGGTAAAAAAATTTTTGTTTTACTACGTAAGTTAATCACTTACATTAACATTATAGAATCTACATTCCAACAAATTCTTAGGTGAACAAGTGAATCTGTGATCAAGAATTGAGAGGTTCAAAATAAGTGTGCTGATGCGAGTAAACACTATTAATAATTATACTATAGTAATTACAAAAAATGCGATACACTTGTAATATTAATACCAATGTATCTGTGTAATCTCAGACTACCTAAGTCAACAACAAATATAAATACTAACTATATACGCAGTATAGGGGCCTATGCCATGCGAGTGATTGTACATGAGCTGTTCGACAGCACGCAACCCAACCAACGAATGCTCATATGGTGTTAAGTAGACCGAGAGGTCCATGTCCAAGTATCTGCTTGGTAAAACAGCCCCAGTACTGCTACGTGTCTCCCAGAAGATCAAGCTTCGCACCTTCAACGCCATCATCAAGAGCATCATCACCTATGCGATCCCTACGTGGGGCGCTGCAAAGGAAAACCGACTAAAGGGTATCCAAGGCCCTTTCATGAAGATACTGAGGTCGGTCCTGGGTATTCCGTGGTACATCAGGAATACTCAAATCTGTAAGGAGTTGAATATCGTCCCTCCAATACAAGCAGCCCCTGCCCTCGCGACTAGAATCCGCACCGCCATTACGGACCACCCAAACCCCACCATCGCCGCACTAGCAAACATCCAACCCGGTCGCTTCGACCTTATAAGACGTCCATGCGCTCTCGTTCAGAACCCTGAGGAACCCCAGAATACTCTAGGTCTTCAATCCCCCATGCTTCCTTCGGATGCATCTCCATAATCCGCCGAAACTCGCAACTTCAACTTTCGCACGCTCCTATCAGGAGTACCCATTCTGCCCGCCGTATCCTCTACGGCCTTAAACACTAACAACATTTACACCAAACACAAGTACGCTCCCATTCACTCAATACACAGCGGACTCACACAAACACACTTAAACACTCACACACACACATCACACACATATACAATTACACAAAATTAAATTTCCTCCAACTCTATTCCGGCGCAAGCCAATTTTCGAGCTTCGCCCAGATGCGTAAGTGCCCCTCCTCTCATCCCTTTGAGAGCGGGCCTCCGAAATTCTCCGTTATTTTCCTTCTTCGATCATACCGACCTCAGGAGTCGAGCAATGTGCACCAAAATTAAAATGCTATTTTTACTATAGGTCAGATAATGAAATAGCAATAACAATGCCAATAACAACGGTAATAATGATAATAATAACAACAAATAATTTGAAATGACTTCAGTGCCTATTAATTAATATAAAACAAGCTGTACTAAAACTCTTTTATTATTACAAATATTTTGGATTTTTGGGAGACGATATTTTATTTGTTTCAGAGGAAATCACCCATACATATATATATATATATGTCATGGTTCAGTATAGAATAAATCTTTACGCAAGCCTTGACTTATATCCATACCTTCCCAGTAAGGCCATAAGCTCTCATGCAAGCTCTGACTCATTCGTATTCTTGCACGAAGCCACAACCCTCACACAAGCTTTGACTTATGCACGTCCCTTTCCAAAATCATGAACCTTCATGCAAGCTTTGACTCAGTCACATTTCTGCACGTTCTTTCCAAGAAGCTGCAAGCCCTCGCATAGGCTCTGACTCATTTGCATTCCCTTTGCCATACCCATGTCCCTAGAGTCTGCACACAAGTCGACTAGAGGACGACGAATAAGTTCGACCCTAGAGATAGCGTCAGCGGCCACTTTTTCTAATTCCAGAAAATGTTCAATTTGAGTAGTGAATTGGGAGATAAAACCTAGCTGATGTCGCTGGCGGGACGAAGCTTTGTCAGCTTTTTGCCTAAAAGCATGGACCGAGGGTTTATGGTCTGTAGCTTCTATAAAATTTCTACCTTCTAAAAAGTACCTGAAATATTTTATTGACTCGAAAACAGCTGTCGGCTCTCTATCATAGGCACTATAATTTTTCTGCGCAGAGTCAAACTTATGCAAAAAAAAGCAAGGGGTTTCCAATCACCATCGATGAGTTGCTCGAGAGCAGCACCCATAGAAAAATCCGACGTATCTGTCACTAATCGAGTTTAAACATCCTGAGTGGATGAATTAGCTGCAGCTTTTTGTCATGACAAGCGTTAACGAGATTGTTTTTGGTTTTCTCGAAGGCCTGAACAGCTTTTGGTAACCAATCGATGGCTCTCAGGTCATTCTTTTTAGAGTTTTGTGTGTAAACGAAGAGAGGAGCTTGTACAGAAGTGGCCTCGGGAATGGCTTCAAATAGAACCTTTGAAATACTGTACGAAACTTATTCAGAAAGTTATCTTTAAAACCTCATACTTAAAATAATTGGTTTTAATTTCTACAAAAACATGAAAAGCATTTTTACAAAAAAGTTGATTCGATACAAATTTTTTTTTTAGTATATGTCATTCAACAGTTATACATTTTTGTGGTAATGAATTTTTTCGTCTTTTTTTTCTTCTTTTCGTGTGGAAGTCTTCAATAAATCTACATTTAT